CTGTAAGGAAGGAAAAAATAAAAGTACGTTAATGACTTGTACTTTAAATTGTTGTTTAGATTATTGAGATAAACGTTCATATTTTGGGGGGTTTCGTTAATTTAATTACATGCTTCTCAATTTGTCTAAATATAAGAAAAGATAATTGAAGTAAACATGCGTGGTGTATGCGTAGGCGGCTGATAATAGGTCAGTTATACTTTCCCACTGTCGCTTCGATAACAGTGATCGCTGTAATATATATATCCATTTTCAGCTATTCATATGACTGGCACACAGTAATGTTATGCTCTCGAAATTCATATATTTACTCTACACTACTGCAAGATGATTGTAGAGTTATAAAATTGCACTGGTTGTTTTGAAAAATAAGTCAAATCCTGCGTATTACTTTCCCTTTTCGTCTCATACAATGGAGCTGCAGACTATAATAGCAATCGTGAGTTATTTTAAAGAAATCGGTGATTGTGCGTATCTTTTCGCATGTCTGTCTCCTTGATTATTGCCTCTCTCTCTTCCTCCCTTCTCTCCCTTTCATTTTCTGTAGTCATTTCGTAAAAAAAAAAAAAAAAAAAAAAAAAAAACATGGAGACAGAAAATATTTGCTATAGATCGCATCCGAACTTTGATAATTATACTAGAGTTAGCAGACTCACGCGTTATTAAACTCCATGACTGAAAATTTTTTTTGGCCCCGCGCGCTCTGACTACGAATTCCCAAAGTTGTTTTTCTCACCATTTTTTTCCCTTCGAGTAAAAGTGACGTAAAAGTATACTAAATCATATAAAAAAAGAAAAAAAAAAGAAATCTGGCGCATCATTCTATAAGGAACATTCAAAAGAAACCCGTGTCATACTTTATTATTGAGTTCAAAATTTATAGCCATTTCTTTTGTGTCGTTTGTCATTAAATTCACCGTTATCATCATTATTATAATAACTTTTATTCTTTTTCTTGTTTTTTTTTATCATTATTACCATCTTTAATATTATATAATTTTATTTTCTACTACTACTACTACTGTTATTATCATTATCATTACTAATATCATTATCATTTCAAGGATATATGAAGAACAAAGAAATATTAAGAAAAAAAAAACATTATCTGATACAAGCAGATAAAATTAAGAAATACAAAAAAAGCATCACTTAATGCGCGTCTCACAGTGACTTCAACACCATAGTTTTTTACGCAACAAAACGCTATCAATTTCGTAAGTAAAGTAAAGAGAGGTTAAGAGAAACTAAAGGTTAGATAAAGTCAGACTAAAGAATCTGTGCCTAATACGGATCAAAGACAAAGATTTATAGCGCTTAAGTTTTTTTTCAAGTAATTTTTTGTAATTGTCTCTAATTTATTAAGAAAACTTTATTGTATGGCACGGCGAAGTTGCTCTCACTCATGTTATTATTTTTTTTTTTACTTAAACGAATCCACAGTAACGTCTTCACCACAGCCGCTTCTGGAAGTAAATATATCTTTATTTCTAGATAATGTTCTCTAGGATTTTTATGTTATCTCCACATAAACTTATGGATTTGGGTGACAGCGTGTCAAAATCCACAATCACACCGATCTCCAACATTCCTTCAAGAACACATTTTGAAGAAGTGGAAGTTGACATGAAATTGGCGAATACACAGATAGCTTTGGTACATATGGTTTAGTCTTATACCTGAGATTAAATGCAAAATCGTCCACCTAAGAAACAGTACCCGAAACGTATTCACAACACTATCCACACTTAAAACTGAAAGTAAATCTACATCAGTACCATCACCTCTCTGAAGTAATATCCCAGATGATGTAATTTCTTGGAAATGCGGATGTCTGTAATGGATGTTTATCAAACCCTTCGCTTGACCTCCTCCTACAAGGACCGGTGGGCTGAGGATGCGGATACCGGCCCCAGGCTACAGTGAAAGTGCTCTCGGTGCGACCAAGACTCCCTGCTCTCAGCACGTGGGCGCTCCAAAACACTGCAGCTTGGTGTTCATTCGAGATTTAAAACGCCCGGTCTTCGAAACTCGGGGAAGGAATATCTTTAAAACTCTCGAAGAACACGCTTAAAACTGTTCGTGGAATATCTTAATAAAACATCACGGAGAAATATCTTTAAGAAAATACGAATGAATATTTAAAAAAAAAGCAAACTTTCGAAGGAATATCTTAAAAACTCTCCAAAGAAATAGATATCTATGTCACGGCAACAGCTGTTAGTGACGAAGATCTATCTCAGGCATTTTTCCACAGAGAGATGATGTGGAAGCTTTGTAGTTTTAATCTTATTTTTCCGTCTCCGATATTCTTTGAGGGAGATACGATTGAGGACGAGGAGAGGAATCGCAGAAAACGGAATTCGTAAATGGGTCGGGTACGCGCTTTTTTGTTCCTTTTTTACAGAGTAACGGTTTTGTCAGTATGATTTGGTGGTGAACTCGAGTCAGAGCTTGAACGTATGGCTCTCAACTTTAATGTTGCAAAAAACAAAGTAAT